GTTTTGCTCCGCAGCTTTCACATGCAACATTCATTTGACCATCGTAGTGTTCGTCCGGTTGTGCATTCGTCTGAGCTGAGATGCCTCTGACACGTGTGTGATACCGCTCAGCTACGGTTCTTCGTCTTTGTCGAGTCTGCTGATGTCTCACGGCCTATTCGAATGCGATCCCGCTGTGCTGAGGCGACATGACGGTGTTGGCGCATCGCCTCATCTTGCTCTCCACTAGGCCTTGCTCTCGCAGCATCTCGTGCTCGTCGGATCTCTCGAATCTCATCACTTTCTTGTTGCCTTCGAATTCTTGATCTTGCTGCTTCTTGCACCAATCTGATTTCTGTTCTTTCCTCCTCTTCAGCATCCCTTTTAGCCCTGGCCATCAGCGTTTGCTGCCAAACGCGCTCCTCTGTGGTAGTCATCCTCAAGTTGTCTTCGCATTCGATCCCTCTCCGCTTCGCTTGTTCAGCGAGCTTCCCTGCCATCCCCTCGCCGTCTTCGAAGCCGGGCTCTCTCTCTTTCTTCGGTGAGACGCACTGCTCGCTGTAAATCGCTCTCCTGTTCTGTGCGCATCCTTGCTCTCTCAGCATTCTGCGAACGACGAGAGTCCCATTCCTCCTGTGACTCCTAAGCACGACGTCTTCTCTTCCGTTCGTTGAAGTCTGCCTCCTTTCTGCTTCAGATTCATTTTCATTCCGTTTTCACTCTGGCTGCTCCTCTCTCTTGATATCTTCGAACATCATTTTCTCCTATGGATTCATGCCATCTTGTTGTCCTGATAATACATTCTAAACTTGTTTGGTGTGCGACATTATCTATTTTTGAAAAAAGTTAATCCGTCGGCATCAAGACCATAACTACAGTCTTCTCTAAGACATTAACTCGCTCTAAACTTGACATTATTGCTGCAAATCGGCAGCACGAATAGGGAAGAAGTCGTCTTCCAATAATCCCCTACTTCGTCCATATAGCATATTGATTACCCTTTCTCGTTAAAGTCATCCGGCTAATCCAGCCCACTCCAGGGATTCCGCCACCCTCCCTTTGATACCTCCAGCCACTTCTTTCCCGCTTTCTAGGACGTTTTTGAATAGACTCATTAATATTTGATTTTGGCCTCGACACCCCCCCCCTTAGTGCAAACCCACTTCAGGGTATTGGCCGCATTCCTTCTATATCCTCTAACCACTCACTTTCCACATTAAAGCATGTTCTTGAATGTATTCATAAGCTTTCTCAAAATGAACCTAACACCTCAACACATGCCCCCCCCCCTATCGTGGGCGGAGCTTTGCTATGGTCGCTACAAGAGAGACTCACCTTCTGGGACAAGCAAACATCTTTTCTCCGTGGGATGGTGGAAGCACGATGACAAATCAAAGTGTCAGTGTCAATCAAATCACGTTTTCTGATCACACCAGTCAACTAGCACTTCGTCAGTACGGTGAGAGAGTGACGTCCGAAACCATCAAAAATGTATTTACAGCACGACAAAGCGCATTGATTCTTCTCTTAGGGAGCCCGTCAAAAAATTATCGGACTCGGCAGGTTTGTTAGAGGTTGCTCTTTTATCATTTTCTCCAAGAAGTCCCATTTTTCTCAAAGGCATAGGCACATTTCACAACAATTCTGGGTTATCCGCATAAACACGAAAAAAGAAAAAGAAGGCGGAGAATAGTGCGATGGAGGTGAAGAAAGCACGAGAATCTGCGTTTCCAAAGAGATAAGAGGCTTCATTACAGTCGCTGAAAATGGAGCTGGACGAGAATAAGACCAAAAATGACGTGAAAGGGTTGTTTGGGGAGCTGTATAATGCTTGTCATCACGTATAGCCGAGCAAGCAAAAATGTCTTTTAAAATCCATTCACTCGATAAATTCAAAATCACTACCATAAGTTAACAAAAACAAGATTGACCGCAAACAATAAGTCACCTTTTTCATCCTCGTAAGGTAGAAAACTAGGAAATGACCGCCGCAGCAAAAAGAATCACAGATTGGAAGTAAAACATCCCCCACCATTCGGTGATCAAGTGATTGTATGCTGAACATGTGGGTCCTGATGCGAATAGCGCAATCTGTATCGCCTCGACACTCGTCTGACATATCATTGGTCGATAGACGTGGATGTTGATAAATCCGGTAATAATGCTCATATTATGCCATATGTATTGAGCTTTTCGTCCCCTTGTGTTATCCCTGGTAGTCATTGGGTGATCCTGGAAACAAATCGTAGGAAAGTTTTAATCGTGAACTATGTCTTTGAATTTGCTCTACCTGCGCAAGCGTCAACATGGTGAAAGTATGTTCGCAAACTACAACAATTTGAGTTTTGTTTGTGTGGTTGGTGTGTACGTGTGTCGGTACTTAGGTGTAGGTGTGTGAGGACGAAAATTAATGATTACTGTCACCAAGAATGTACAGAGTGTGGATTTGAAAGCCGAAACCGTTTGCTGAGTGGAAGGAGATTACAGCAATTGATAGGGACTAGTAAGTGTTCTCAGGATGCAAAAAGTCCGTCACGCTATAGTCGATTAAATGAGATTCTACTCAGGAAGAACTCAGAAACAGTTTTCACGCTCTCCAGTCACAATTCTGCTCCCTCCGAAATCCCGCTGAGGTTCGATTCCTAGAAATCACGCATCAGAAGAGAAGCACTCAATAGTGAAGGATTATTCAAAAACGTAGCTACCGGGAACATTTACGTCGAAGTTTCGCTT